CTGCTCTGTAAATAGTTTTCAAGTAAACAATACACATAGCAACTTCTGATCAATCCATATCAATTTCAGACTTCAAATAATGTATTGATGTAAACCACACCCACTTCCGGGTTAGGCCACACCCACTCCGAGTACAGATACAGATTAATTAGATGGTTGAACAGATACAGATACAGATGGTGGTGTACTCGCTCATCCCTAGTAAATAATTTAATTTGGATTTATTTGAAATCTGCTTGTTCAACATTACATTAAACACATAATATAGTAATGAAAAAATGAAAGTATAGATTAGAAAAGCATCTGTGTAGATTTTACAGACATCAAAGAGCTGCTCCTACTCTTTTCAAGTCTTAAGATTAAAGTCCCATAGTTGTCACATAGACTGGTGTGTTGTAGTGAAAATTGTCCTCTGTTTTTGACCCATCCCCACGGGGAGCGGGGAGCTGCAGCTGTGGCCGCGCTCAGGAACTATTTGGTGGTTCAACTCCCAACCCAACCCATTAAAGCTGAGTGTCAAGCAGGGAGGTATTGGGTCCCTTTTTTTTTTTAAATCTTTGGTATGACCCGGCTGGGATTTGAACTCGGATCTCTCAGTCCCAGGGCAGACACTCAACCACTAGGCACTAGGTGGTGTCATGAGAACAACATGGGCTATATTGATAATTGGAAAATTTTGGGGGGAATCCTGGTCTGATGAGAAGAGACAGCATCCATCCCTCTTTGGATGGAGCAGCTTTTCTTTCTAGGAACAATGGCCAATTTTATTAGTCCTCCATGACAACCCAGGGTCCAGACCAGGAAGCAGAGTCGTAGTTTAACACACCCCTCTAAGGGTTTATTTTCTCTCTAAGTGTTTTTCTCCCCACAAGAAGCTACAATGATGTTCTGCTGAGCTGTGGTAGCCTCATGGTGGGGGCCATCGGCTTGAACACTGTTGTTAACCACTTAAATATTATAACCTATAGGGCATGTTGTTACATTTATCTCCTGATAACATTTAACATTCTTTGACATTGAATGTGCTACTACTAGTTTACCCGTTTAATTATAGATTCACTAGGATGAATACAAAAAAGTTTATCTCTCACCAAATAGAATGTTTACTAAGAAATCACAATGTAACCGTAGAAACATTACTTTGTGTGTGTGAGTGTGTGTGTGTGTGTGTGTGTGTGTGTGTGTGTGTGTGTGTGTGTGTGTGTGTGTGTGTGTGTGTGTGTGTGTGTGTGTGTGTGTGTGTGTGTGTGTGTGTGTGTGTGTGTTTGTGTTGGCTCGGTCTTCACGATCCCCAGTGAGTCGTGGTGGATGGCTGCTCAGGATCCTCTGGAGGTTTCTTCTTGTTAAAAGGAAATTTTCCTCTCCACTGTCTCTGCATGCTTGCTTAGTATGACGATTGCTGCAAAGACTCTGACAATAGTCAGTGACTCGATGCAATTAGCTGGGTTCATTTTATAGGAGACATTTTACTGACTGGCTTAATGAACTGAACTATATTGGAATGTTTACTGTGTGAAGTGCCTTGAGACAATTCTTGTCATGTTTTGGCATTATATAAATAAACTTGAATTGAGGTAAATTAAATTAGGCCACTGAACTGGTTTAAGTAGACTCTTCCAGTGAAAAAATATATTTAATTTCTGAAAGTTCTATCTGAAGTCGGTTATATTTTAGACTCACACTTTTAACATGAATACAACTTAAATTATGCAACTTTACTGGACGTCAAAAGTTTTCATTTGCAAATGAATTGTAAACTGTTGTCCAAACTTTCAGTCCGTACTGGTTATAACTTTACAACTGTGGATAGCTGTTTTAATGAGTGCTAAATATAAAGCAAAATTACTTCATAAAGGGACATGCACACAGTTTTTATGCCATATGTAATGCTTTTATGATAACATTTTATTATTCTTTGACTCAGATAAACTCTGATCAGGCAGACTGATTTTCTTTCCTGTCTTGTGTTAGCTCAGAATTGACTGAAAAACAGAACCAGACAGCCAAAGCTGACAGCAATTAATCACAAAAAGAAGAAACTATATAGGACAAGCTGTTTTGACTGTTTAAGCTAATTCCAATTTAGACCAAATGAATACAATTACCTGCAGAAACTCAGAGGTCACGGCTGCTACGAAGCAGCCCTGGAAGCTGACTTGGAGCTGAAAAACAAGCAGTTTCCAACATATGCTGTTGACGGAATATTATTTTTGTACATCTGCAGAAGCTATTCAGCTGGTTGTTAAATTGCCCAAGATGAAAACTGTGGTTTGGACAAATGAGCTTTTCTTTAGTCCCTGAAATCTGGATTTGTGTTCTTGATTTAGTTTTAAAATGAATGGTGGTCTGCCACTGATCAGTGCTGGAAGGGCTCTCTCTCTGTGTGTGTGTGTGTGTGTGTGTGTGTGTGTGTGTGTGTGTGTGTGTGTGTGTGTGTGTGTGTGTGTGTGTGTGTGTGTGTGTGTGTGTGTGTGTGTGTAATCTTGTTTTGAACCCCATCCGGAGAACATACACAGGGACCAGTGTACTGAGACAAAAACATGACAGAGTTGAAACAAAATGAGCACCCTCTAGTGGCTGGTTCCATTCCAGATTCCAGATTCATGTAAGCAAATAAAACATTTTACTAATTCAAAGTTAAAAACACCCCTCAGGTCACGTTTGACCAGTGTTAACTACTCTTTATTCACAACATTCTTAGCTTAATGCTCACAGGTTCACCTGTCATTTTATTTGAGCTGTAATTAATTATGCTGTGCCAAAAATCAGCATGACTGTGTATAGATGTGTGAGCAGGACTACTAACCTAACATCCGGAACACACAATCTCTGAATCCAAAATTACAAAACTGTGTCTGTGACAAACATGGCTTCACTTTGTACAATCTACTCCAAATGTTACGAACAAAGTGCATTTTCTCAGTCCCTACAACCCCAGCAGGTCCCTGGGGTCCAGTGACCATGCTTGCGCGGTGCACCAGGTTAAATAAATAAATATATTTATGTCAGGTGCTATTCAAATAATCTCTACCTAACCCTAGCCCAGACCCCAGACACTATTGATAAGTTTCTATCAATATCAATACAATTATCAATTCTGTCTATCAATCCAGATCCTTATCAATACCCGAGCAGTTCAATAGGTGGCAAAAACATTTTTGTACATGGTCTCCTGCATTATTACTGTCAGTTTATTAATGATACATAATAACTTGTACCTAGTATTGGTTGTAAAGGTCTTTGCAGCTTTAACACCTAAAATATGGGTGCACAAAACAGCTGGAACAGAGCTATGCATGTGCCATCCATAGCCCCAATGCCATTGCTATGCTAAAAGCAGAACCCACAGAGACTCTCATCAGCCCACCTGTCAGCCCTCTCTAGATCAGCTCTCCAGCGACTACGTGCAAACACACAGGAGCCTCAACGGGAACTCAAACATCCAAAGGTTTCACGGCTGAGAGCTCGTCTTTGCAACGAGACGCCATTTGAATCCAAAACAAATGCATACATTCCACGTCTCCAGCATTCAGCAGGAGTCAACATCTAAACAAACCCCACCTGAACCGCTGACGTGTGTCATTCCTGTTTGTGAAAGATGTCCCACATTAAACACATCACAACAATGTAGACAAGCAGAAATGTCATCTATTGTATCGTCACGAGAGCATGAAACAATCTCAAGTCACTCAACTGGAATGAATTGGAGTCTGGCAAGTTGATGCAACACACTGTTAAATAAAATTTATATGCAACAGCCTCGTATTAAATACTCCTTCACGCCGAAATAAAACAGATCCATGATTTGTCACTCAATATCAGTGACGCAGCCTCAGGATTTTGTTTATGTTGTGTAACCTTCAGTTCCGATGAAGAGAAAGTGGAGGCAGCCAACGCATGAGTGCCAAACAAATGCAGTGTTTTCATTCCCACTGCAGCGAGTGACAGGGAGAACAAATAGCAGGAATTTCTAAATACTCCTCCAGTTTTCCCCTCTTCCTTTCCCATTTTCTCCCCCTCCTTCCTTCTCTCCACTCGGCTGCAGATGGCGTTGGGCATATTAGATGTTTTCTTTTTGCACATCAAACCACAGGTCACAGCTGCGCTGCTCATAAACCAGACGCAGATGTGTCGGCACGGTTACCTGACAACCGGTACAGATGGAACACAATCTCTGAGCCTGGAAGTATAAAACGGGGGGGGGGGGGGGGGGGGGGGGGGGGGGGGGCAAGTGTTGTTTTGCCAGTAACTATTTTAGTTCCCCAGAGAACGCTGCTGAGATCAGAGGAGCAGAATAAAGACAAATTTGCTAACTTTTCTGTTGAGAGTATTTGCCACCCAGAGCAGCTGGAGTGGTGACAGAACACAAATAACACAAAAGCGGGAGGAGGTGTAACACATTTTAGCAGATCTCCAAACAATGTGGTGTGAAAATCAAAGAAGCCTTGGCCATGAATGAATATTGATGACCAAAATGATTTATTTATGTTTTATCTTTGACAGAGCGAAGCACACGTATGGTATCAAGCTTGGCCTGCAGAGCATTGAGGGGAGAAGACCCTGTGAGCGTATGTCGAGTACATTAACATAGTATAATATGTACATACACTCAACGATTATATGATCAGCCAGTCCCAGCTGCAAGCAAAGGCAGAAACAAATGCACTCCGGCAATGAGATTTACATCCCAGTTTCAGCAAGCAGTTATTATCATCTACAGTTTGAGTCGGACGTGCATGAATGACACTCTAGGACGAACTCATTTAAATAGGAAAAGACCATTTAATCAAATTTGTGTTCTGCTTTAAGGAAACAGAAGTCAGTTTGAGTAGACCATGCTGTGAGAAGGTCTCTGCCCCATACACCCCCCATGTTTTTGTCACGTAAATGTTCAGAAGCCGTGTTTGCACTATAGTTGTCGTTGTTGTGTAGGAGACCAAAACAGAGCGAACTATAGTGAATACTAGATATCCAGTGTTTTCCCAGTACTGAGGGTTTAGAAATAGCATTTTTAAAGCAGCATCAATGCTGTTTATTTTAATTTCCTTCCAGTGTGCTTCACCAGACACTGGTTGTTTGGCTAAATATCTTGTGTGACGGGGTGAGTACTCCCTCTTCTCCACAACATCTTTGTAAGACTGTCATTCCAGGAGAGGGCACTCACCAGCTGTGGGGCATTACCGATCAGCGGCAGCTGCAGATCCTCTATTCAACCGCAGCAGAGCTCTATTTAAGAGGAGAGGGAACCACTTCACATCGCTGGATGATTAACTACTCACGGTAGAATCTTGCCACTCAGTACTAGGTTTTACTTGGTCTCTGCTCAGACATTTGTGCTGTCACAGTTTTTGGATTTATCTGGTTTTTTTTGTGCTTGGATTTTTTGGTGTTTGGACTCAAGTCTGTTTCATCTTCAGGATACTTGGAATCGCTGAACCACAGATGGATGTACCTACCTGGAAGTCACCATAACCCGCCTGGATTACACACTCAAGGTTCACCTCTCCTCCAGCTTCACTTGCCCTCTGCCGCCATCATCTGGCTCCCTCTCCTGGACGTACCCCGTCACACCGTTTGCCCTCCCTGCTGGCTTTTGGACTCTTGCCGACTACTTCACACTTGGATATCTCCAGGACACTTTTAGTTAGGGTTAATAAATGATTGTTTGAACTTTCTGCCTTTGTCCTGTGATGGTTCTTCATGTCGTGGGTTAAACACCTTCCCAGGAACATGACAAAATATACCGATATCCAGTCAGCATTGGTTTACCTCAGGTCCCACTACTCTCCATTCCCGATTACATGCCCCAGTTTAGGTCGCTGAAAAGACCCGGAAGGTGGTCAGGAACAGTGAAGTGGAGATACGTACACTCCTCAAAGGTCCGGTAAAATTATCCTGATGGTGCATACAGGCCTAGTGCTTCAAATGTGAGATGGACCTTTGTGGGTTTTATTTATTCGTTTTTGTCAGCAGAGTTTTAATCTTTGGAACCCCCATAAGGGGTTAGAGCTGTTGCCTTGTAGCAAGAAGGTCTTGGGTTCACTTCCCGGCCTGGGATCTTTCTGGATGGAGTTTGCATGTTCTCCCTGTGCATGCGTGGGTTCTCTCCGGGTACTCCGGCTTCCTCCCATAGTCCAAAAACATGACTGTTAGGTTAATTGGTCTGTTTAAATTGTCCTTAGGTGTGAGTGTGCATGATTGTTTGTCCTGTGTGTCTCTGTGTTGCCCTGCGATAGACTGCCTCTCTGTCCAGGGTGTACCCTGCCTGATTGCCTGTTGACCGCTGGAGATAGGCACCAGCCCCCCCCACCCCCACCCTACCCTCGCGACCTTGCGTGGACAAAGCGGGTTCCGAAAATGGATGGATGGATGGAACCCCCATAATGAAATTTCTATCTCTGACCTTAACCTGAAGCTAGTTAATTTATCTTGAATGGGAAATTATATTTTACTTTTTGAGGTATTTTAGCTTACTTCATGTAAGGTTATTTCTTAATTTTACAGGTCAGGGTTTGGCTGGTGGAACATCAGACTGGGAGCACTTACCTTTTCACATAGACCAGCTGGTTTTAATACATTTGTTCCTTTAAAAAATTAAAACAGCATTTCATATTTACTCAGATTACTTTTGTCTGATATTGAAATGTGTTTACTGATCCAAAATAGTTGACATGACATGAAAACAAAAGCAGAAGAAATGTGTACGAGGTTACATATAAAACTGCATTTTAAGCCATATTTAGTAAATTGTATTTCTTGAAGGGAAATCTGTCCCACTCAGTCTGTCGTCAGTGACACATTTACATATCAGTCACTCTGCGAAAGTGAGAATTCTCCCGGCACCTCGTGGGATTTACTGTGACATGATTATTCTTGGTTACCCATTAAACTCCGTAGAGAAACAGACACAGTCACGAAGCCCTGTTTATTCACTTTATAGTGATGTCACAGGACTGTCAGTGAGTTCTGCTGTACCACACTGACATGTAGACACTTTACTTTTTAGGAATGAAACACAACACACAATTATGTTTATTTATTAGGCAGACGCTTTAATCCAAAGTGTCGTACAATTGTTAACCTATAGGCATGTTGTGATCTGTGGGGGAAACCGGAGTACCCGGAGGAAACCCACGCATGCATAGGGAGAACATGCAACTCCACGTAGAAAGGCCACAACCGAGTTTCGAACCCGCAACCTTTTTGCTGCAAGATAACAGTGCCAACAACTGTTCCACCACACAATCCAATTATAGAGCATTGACAGTGTAGCCCATTGCATCATGGTAAAACATTCTGCTACAATAAAACTGCAAACACACAAATATAAATCACATACCTGATGGCTGAATGACTCAATAGAAAAAGAAGAAATTCCACCACTTGGTTCTACTATTTTGTCTTGATTTTAGTTGTGTAACAATTGTTCTCATCTGCTTTTGATGCTGGTTTTTATTTTTATTGGTTTTATTGATGCAATTGCCTTTTTATTATTGTGTTCAGCGCCTTGGGCTTCTGCTAAAGATTGTGGAAGGTGCTCTATGAATGAATGAATGAAAAAGAATAAATTAAGTTTTTTATATAGCTCCTTTTAATACAAAAATCATGAGGCGCTTTGCAGAAGCAATAATAAAGAATTTATTTTCATTTGTCTTCATTTAGCTGTGGAAAGTTCCCAGCCATCCAGGTTTAATAGAGTCTAAGCAGGTGTGTAACAGCTGCTACTTAGACATCTCATGGGGCTTAAAGGAGATGTACAGTTGGATGTCATCTGCATAAAGATGGTAGGAGATTCCTTTAAAAGAGCTCAGGATGTGCAGGAGAGGAAGCAGATAGAGGAGGAAGAGCAGAAGCCCCAGCACAGAACCTTATGGGACACCGTGGGTAAGGGAGGTGGTCGAGGTCCTAAACTTGGAGATGGTAACAGAGAAGGAATGCTCAGAAAGATAAGAGGAGAACCACTCCAAAACAGTTCCTGATAGGCCTACCCAGTCTCTCAGCCTCTCCAGTAGCAGGTGATGGGTGCCAACACCCTGCAAACATAAGCATTGATGGATATGTAGAATAATTCTGCTGGATCTGGATGGAAGTTTAATAAACACTGGTTCCAGCAATATTATCGCTTTGCATCATGCTCACAATCCAGCGATGCACATAATTAGCTGTGATTTTAATAAATAATGTTGGCACATCTGTGATAGCTTCCTCACATGACCATATTTGGAGTTGTTTTACACTGAGGCAAAGGTTTATTGTGAAATTTGAATGGATCCAGTTGGAACCTCCTCCAGGGGCTGGAGGACTACAAAAGGAGGGCTAGAGGAGATGAAAGGTGTCTATTGGGAAGGCCTGCAGTAACCACAGCGCTGCTGCATGTGTTGCTTGACTGAATTAGAACTTTTTGTTCTAAGTTTTGGCCTAACTTTTATAAAAATGTCCTAAAATGCCGTTTTTGTGGTCTTAGAACTTTTGAAGGGCCCTCCTACATCAGATTAAAGAACTGAGTGGCAAGAATTCAGAGTGAAAATTGTAGCTTTCCTAAAAGTGTGCTGATAGAGTAGTTACGGATGGATGGATGGATGGATGGATGGATGGATGGTCCTGGGGAACACTGATGGCTACAGCCAGTAAGGGAAACCATTTAAGTGTACTCTGCATAGACATGATAATTATCAAATGATCAGAGAGGTCACCACTGATTTACAATTATTACAATTAGTTATAACATTCAATCAGAAACACATGGTCAGTGTTAAGCACAAGAATTGTGGATATTTTTACTTATTTATGAATCTGGGAAGAAAGTCACTCCTCTGTTACTTCATGTGCATTTGGAAATGCAGATTTCACCGCTTACAGTCTGCAAAGAGGAAGAGGTGGAAGGTGCCCCACAATCAGTGCATCAGTGGAAAATCTGACTTTTATTCAAGGAACAATCCAAGCCTCTTCCATCAAATGCTCTGGTCTCAAGTTTAAAAATGATAGAAAATAACGGGTGATCGGAGGTGACAAGTGCATCCTTAAAAGGTGACAATCAAGAGCTGAACCCTTGAAACTGAATGTTGGCTTGGTGGAGATGAATAAAAACATGAATAAAAACACTCAGTGTTTCACCTGTAGTCCTGCCAACACTGTTTTAGTGTGTGGACATCAAACAAAAGATTATATAACTTTTACTTTCCAGCCATCCATTTTCTTTACCCACTTAACTATGCAGGGTCACGGGTGGATGTGTGTGTGTGTGTGGTGGGGGGCAGCATATCTCCAGCGGTCTTTGGGGTACACCCTGGACAGGTTTCTAGTCAATCACAGGCCTTTTCTAAAAAAAATGTTGAAAAGATAAGTGCCTTTGTCATTTTCCCCTCTAATATCCACTCTCGTTTATAAAACATGCATATATGAACTAATAGACACGCCAGGCTGGATTCATTGACATTCCTTGGAGTCAGAATATTCCTCGACTTGGATGATCCCTCTGGATTTAAAACTGGAGCTTGGCTTATCGGTGTTCCTTCTGTACTGGTCAGCAATGCCTCACATGCCAGGAACACAGCTCTAACCTATGACCTGATACGATCCCTAACTGTGGAATCTGGGCGGACTAATCACTTGATGGTCACTACAAATATGTGAGCGTATAGGTGCATCAGTGAGAGACTAATAAAACACAAATGTATGTATTAGTGTGATTTATATTCATGTGCAAACACATGCAAACGTTGCTGTAGCCAGGATCAAATACTTTTCCTCCTGTGTTCTATTTAAACCCTGGCAGGAGACCAAATTACATCTCGTTAACTGGAAATGTGAACCCAGGAAGTCAGACAGCACCAAGGAGGTTCATCCTTTGATCACCGGAAAAAACGCTGGTGGTCTGAGGTACAGTACGTTAGGTTGGAGGGGTTTCAGCTAACTCTACTGTCATGGTCTTATCCAAGAAATTAGCTTAGCAAGGAGATAATAGCAGGAAAGGGATTATTGGATTAGCAAAATATAAAAAATGTAGTACCCAGCATGACTGTACGGTCTAGACGACATGATTAAGGAACAAAACACAAAAACAACTGACCATTTATTTTTATAAGATGATCTTTGTACAAGAAAATAGGAAGTTTTTTAAATGAGGAGGAAAATTGTTTAAAAAGGCAAAATCTAATTAGGAATGAGACTTTAAATTATTAAAGCCAGGTGAGCGACAGCAGGGGTTGTTTGAAACTCTAGATAAGAAATAAAATAGATTATTTGTTTTTATCAGAATTACAGTTAAGACGTTTATTATTTTGTGATAAAAATAGCTGAGTTATTGCTTTTGCTGTGATCACCTGGAGGTTTAAAGTTACAGTTTATCTTGCCAAGGAAAAAATAAAATACTGAAGTCGATTCCCTCCAGAGATTTACGTTTGTTACAGTCGCTGTTTGCTTTCATTATTTTTTCATCTGTAATCAAATTTAATATCTTCATGCCACTTGTGAAATGCTGTCTGTGCCATGAGTCCAACCTGGTCATCCAACCACAGCTGGTCAGGTGTCAATCTTCATTTCAAATGTTAAACTTCTATTTTAGCTTTAGTCGGGAGGATATTTTCCTATAAAAATGTCTCAGAATCTATATTTTTGTGTTTCGGCCTCAAAAACGCTCTATTTTTGACACTTTCATTAGTCATATGTCCTAAAT